CCCCAAAACCCCAAAACCCCAAAACCCCATCAGAATAGTATTAATGGGACAAGATAGGTTTGATTAATAATATTATTAATTGAAATTGCAAGAATTTTACAAATGCTTTCATAAACTGACGTATTTCAAACAGATTTAAAATAAATTGATTAAACTTCTGAAAAACATACATTTAAGGAGTTCCTAGACAGATAAATGATATATCTTAACTCGAATGAAGACTAAACTCAAATTGTGGACTAACAAAATGATTACGAAGATGAGAACTATCTAGAAGAAGCGTGCGAAAAGAACAACTAGTAATATAATGACTTCGATAGTCATATTAGTTTCAGTGGTGAGAGTCTTTCAATTCAAGTCAGGCTAGATTAGCCTATACATGCCTAAGATCCTAACCAGTAGCAAAAGTTAGATAAAACCGATTGCCAAAGTCTCGAAAAAAATGATATAACACGTGGAATTAATATCAACCCATTTAATTATTTGTCGGTATAGGATAGAAAATAAATTGGCATGGAATCACCGCTAAATTCAATCAAGTAATCTATCTTTTATTATAGTTTTAGTGATTTAAACAATTGCAAAAATTAGTAACTTGGAAATAATTGTCAGATTTAATTAGAACCGGCCCCGGAATTTTCAGACCAGAATCATTTAATTGAAGAAGATGACTATGATTTTCTAGAAAAAAGTGATACCTCCTAATTATAAATTTCTAGAAAAGATTCCCTAAAATAATCGCGTAAAAAGGGCAGACCCTATAAAGGCAAATGCGCAAATCGCGAGGGAAGAGAAGACATGGTCGTGGAAAAAAGAGCGATTTTCAGAGCTCTCAAGAACATAATCTAGAAAGATTATAAGGAATTTCTTAGCATTTTAGAACAACAAATTTAGTAACTAGAAAATGAGTAGTTTAAGGAATAAGTTCTAGAAACAATAGAATCCTTTAAGCACTGTATGAGCTACGATCACATTAAAAACACTAAATCCAAGAGATTTATAAAATAAAACTACTCTAAAATACTTGGAAATGTCTGCTACAGATATAGCAGGCTGTCGAAAGAAAAATTCTTTAATAATACAAGCTGTAGCTACATCTTCAAGATGGCAATATCTCACTTGAGGTAATATATAGACGAGACCTTCAAGAAAAATATTAGCGTACATTAGGAGTTGCTTTAATAATTCGCAGACGTTGTAGAAAAATCAACTTTCTGAATATAGACTTCATCTTGTTTTAATAGTTCTGAATAAAAATAAATATATTTATTACAATTAAACCATTGACTTCTGAAAATTCTTTTAATTCTATTGGTAACTTGGGGTTTTGGGGTTTTGGGGTTTTGGGGTTTTGGGG